ATGCTCAAGTAAAAGTAAATTTTTTCACCAATCCGTGTCTTTGTACGTTCGAGTAATTGTTCCAAGTCATTTAGTTGAAATATTCAATCGAATAAATCTACGTTAACACCGCTCTCTTAACTTATAAATGCACAGGATCTCGACAGCACCGACAAGACCGATGATGCGGATGAACCATTGGGCCATGAACCATTTCTCCTTACCTTGATCTCTGAGAAATCGAAGATGGGAGCGAAGTTTGTAGATGAAATAGCCGGGGGAATTAAAAAGATGATTGGAACTTCAATCCTGAATAATGAGTCATCCGATATTCCGTCAAACGGCGAAAACTTATCGGATGATAACCATAATGAGAACATTCTTCCGTGGACTCGAGAAAACACAAAAGCGCTCGGCGAGCTCTTCGCGGGTCAGAATCGTGAGGGGTTCGTCGACGAGGCAACGGGGAGACACGGCAATCGTGCCAAGAGAGACTCAGGGACTCAACTGTGGAGCAGTCCGCACATAGACAGCATATCCGAACAACTGCTTAAATTAAGCGAGGGAAGCACGAGCAACGTGCTAAGATCCAAAAAGGCGACGGTCGCTGAGGCCTTAAATGGCCACGCTATTCGCAAGATATTGGAACGAGCGAAAGCGCAGGCGGCTAAAGTCGTGCCGCACAAGGACCTGTACAACACCAATGGTTTCAGCAAGTGGCTTCTGTCCGGGTCACCGTTCGACATGAATATCTTCCGCCACTTGCACCACCGACCGTCAGAGAACGCAAAAGTAAAAGAACGTCCCGACCCCGATACAGATGACGCGTTGCGTCATCGCACGTCCTCGACACTGCATAGTCACGTATTTGATGCGACAAATCGCCGCCACCAGAACCGCCACCATCTCCGGCAACGTGAAGGGAAACACATATTTAGTACATTATTCGAGCCCACAGCGGCTGACGCCGCGAGTACCGAATACTCGTACGACAAGTTATTGCATAAATCAAAACATCGAGAGCGTCTATCGCCTGAATTGCAAATTACTTCGGGAGAGGGGCGCGACGAGACAGCCGGGATGTTCCGCAAACCTACCGCGGTATCGCACCAGGCGCATCGATCGTTATCCTATGAGGATGATACCGCGGACGATACCGGATTGCAATATTATTCACACGCGTATGCACCGCACATGCGCGTAACGGAAGACGAAGACGCGGGAAACGGCATGCCAAGGTGGAAGCACGCCAAGTGGATACACCGATTCGGAGCGCGCGCCCCTCCCTCCGCGGATTCACCTGACTCGGGGGAGGAGGTGGACGACCACGAGAGAAGACACATACTTAGAAGCATATTTGATGGATTTGGAGACGAAGAGGATGATGAGGGAGCTCGCGCTGGACGTCGAGAGCGACACCGAGTCTCGGGAATGGACATCTACGGCAGAATTAATCGCGATAGTCAGGCCGACGAGAAAACTAAATTAATCGATTCGTATGGGAAGACAAACTGGGAAGACATACTCGGCCGTAAATGGTATTATTATGGTATCGGGAACGGAGAACGTTCCGTTTACGACGGCGAGGCAGATGCTGACGCCTCCGGCGACACAGAGAATCGTCATTTAGCGGATTTTCTACTCGAGCGCAAGTCGTCGGTGGATTCGCGTCGGGGGAGGAACATGAGAAACAAAAATAAGCATCTCGAGCACGACGGAGTTGAACGTTCCGCTATCTACTCCACAACATCGGCAGAAGCAACGAGCGGAGCGGCGAGCGAACGGTCGAGTGAGGTGTTAACGACGAAAATCTCCGCGGGCACACCCAAAGCCATGGACGTCGATGTAGAGCATTATCACTGGAGAGATCGAAATGTCGCCGCCAACAGCACGACGTCACTCCCGTCGAGCTTATCCGGTGAAAAAGAGAGCAAGCGTACAAATAACGCGCTCACGTCGCCATTGGCCGATGATGGATCGGCAAGGAGGGAAGCGGCCGAGAGCGGCGTTCCACGGAGGACTCAGCCCGCAATTGATAATGATGCAACGGCAGCGGAGATGGGTTTCAGTGGAATTAAAAGTCAGCCGTGGGCCAACTTGCCGTGGGCCCATTCATCCCGAGTGCGTTCAAAAACTCATCTGGAAAATCAGCGAGCTCATCGCGGCGGATATGAACGCGCGGCTGTTGACGCAATCGCGTCCACGGAAACAGAACACTCGATGGACAGCGGCGGGGACGCACCACTGGGACGTGCAAAAACGCGAAAACATTCGCCCGCCGGCGAATACGGAAATTACGCGGATCACGACCTGGGAGAAAATCAAGTGGTCAATAGTGACGCGGAGTCATCAGCAGAAGCCACGGTCGGAAGTGAGTATGGATACGACTTACTGGGAACCACCTGGTTAGACGACTCGCGCGAAAAGGATTACGCAGGAATCGATTGGGAGCGCTTGGATCTGCACGATGATCGCCGCCGGCATGGGACGTCAGTGATCAACTTCCCTGATCGTAGCGACGAAGCGTACATATTAATACCGGAATTTCCGACTTACAAGTTTCGTAAGGGATACTGGCCGTATAACGTAAGTTATTATGGTCCCAATAGCGAGGAAATGCGCGACGACCAAGAAATTGAGGTCGGAGAATCTACCAGGAATTGGAAAGAAGGTGAACTTAATTATGGTGGTTGGGAACAGGAGGGGGAATTTTCTACTGGCCATGAGGCGTCGAAAAAATGGTCTAACGCACGTAGATCCGACGGTCAACACAGTCAACATAGCGAGTATGGTCAGCGCAATCGTTACACATTTGATCAATTTCTACATGATATGATGTGGTCATCGTCGATCACGAATATAACCGAATATGAAACTTGGGAAAAGTACATAGCGTATCTCTATTATATTTGGATGCAAAAGTACGGCAATTCGGACGCGTCATTCGAAGCTCCAACGTTGGCCACCGAAGAAAGCGAGAAACAAGATAACGCAGTGGATGAGGAGATATCGTTGGATAGACACGGGAGGAAACACACGACAAACGAGGATAATTACATTCATCTGAGAAAACATAAGAAATTGCCTCAACGCACAGGGGAGTTAATGATAAGGAACGTACCTGGCTTAAAGCAAGATAAAATTAAATCAATTACAATCAATAACGGAAAAACTTCGAACAAGGATTATGGAGAAGGGGAACTGATAAGCGAAGAGAATGTGGACAATCAGAGAAAAAATCAGGAGGCTCTTACGCGTACGGGAAATATAATTCGTGAGGATTCCATGGTAGATATTATGTCAAAAGCACGCAAAAGAATAATTGATAACAATAGCTATCATCAGCAGAGGTCATGGAACTCGCTAGAGAACTCTCACACAGATACTCGGATAAAAACTGACAGTTACGATTCTCACAGGAGAAACAAGAACGTTGACATAAATCAGACTGCGGAAACGACGGAGTCTACTGATTCTGAAAATGATCCTCGACATATATCGACGGAAACGTCCTCGACGTCTCGATCGTATGCGGAATTGCAAATGGACGAACATGCCGTTGATACATTGAGTGATCTCAGAAAAATTGTGACTCGGACGCAAGCGGGTAAGAGATATAAATCGGGTAAAGAGGATGAATATCGAGACGAAACTGACTTCAGCGACATATCAGCAATGTCCTCTGAATCAATTGATGAATCACAAATCAAAAGAATGCACCATATGAGGAAAAAATCGAGAACTGATCAGGAGAATAGCGCGAGCATGGAGACATTAACAAAAGCGATTTTATTGAACGGTGCAACGGATAAATCTCAATCTAACGTACAAGGCACAATGATTGCTTCTGAATTATCTGCAGAATCGCAAATTGATTCTAAGAGTTCCTTGGAAAATTTAGTCAGAAAACACAGTACGAGTGCAGAAACGTCAGCGAATGCGATCTCTGTGAAAGATAGACAAGAATCGGAGAACACGTCATCATTTTCTAAATCGTCTGTACAATCTGAAATGGAGGATTATTCAAATGAAAGTATGAGAAACGTTCGAATAAATAACTCGGGAGCGCTGTCAGCATCGTCTTCTAAATCATTCGCAAAATCCAAGGCAAAAACCGAGCAAACAGGGAACAAGAGAAATTCTAAAAATATTCAAGTGAATGCCAGTGCAAAAGCATCGTCGACAGCGACGCTTTCTAATAATGCACGAAACAAATCGACATTATCTTCGAGGTCGTCCGCGGAGTCACGACTCGAATCAGATTACTATTTGACTAAACATAAAGACAATCGAATAAGCGCCATCTCAAGATCATTAGCAGGTTCAACGTTGTCCGACACTGTGGTAGATGAACGTCAATCTCACTCACAGAGATCCTCCTCTTCATCTTCCTCCACGTCCTCGGAAGAATTGCAAGCGGAATCTCAGCATGATTCTAATAGTATTCAAAACAGTCAAATGAATGTCGCTACCGCAAAATCATTAGCGACATCCGCATCCTTGAGCAATGCTAAAAGTGGACATTGGTCTGATTCATCTTCTACGAAATCATCTTCTAAATCATGGGAAGAGGCACAGAAACATAACTCGAATAATGTTATTAATATACAGGAAAATAATATTGAGAACCAATCCGAATTGGAAAGCGCGTCGAAATCACATGTGAGGTCAATATTGAAGGATAAACGCTATTTGAGCGTTATAGAAGGCAACGAGAACAACATTGTTAATGCAGGCGCGAAAACAACGAGTTTCGCTGCTGCAAAAAATGATGAACGACAAGAGTCGGCATCTTGTTCCTTTGCAGAATCGCAAATGGAAAATAGAAACAGTAGAAAAGAGACTTCAATATCAAATACGATTTCTAGCAACGTCGTTAATGACACGGAACAACGTAATTTATTGCGCACGCTGTCATCATCGCAAACTGCAAGCAAAGGCGTTTTAAGGGTTCAACAAGAAGATCCACAAATTATCAGCAAATCTGTGACATTTGAAACGTCGACGGAAACAAATGATGACAAGAGCAGACGAGAAGACAATGCGCTACAAGCAACATGGTTTGTCGATCCGAAAAACAATTTAGCAACGTCTACAAATATAGAAGTTGCTGAAAAAGCAGAAGCTGCGAGAGAAAATTCGAATATTGCGTCAAATGCAGCGGCATCAGCAACAGTAATAACCTCCACTGATATTCGGAATGCGCAAAATTCGAAAACAATGTCCTCATCGGTCCACTCGAAAGCAGAAACGAAAATACATAGCAAAAATCAATTGAAAGAAAACGATTCGATAAACCGAAATTGGGCTATATCAAGAATATCTGCAATGTCAGGAAAATCAAATGAAGTCGGTGATAACGATAAAAACAAATTGCTGAAGGAATCCTCTCTGTCCGAATCGCACAGCGCTTTGGCAGAGGAAAATAGGCGTGTTATGGACACTACGCAAAACAGTCAGGAGTCAATGGCCGCGGCTAAAGCGGAATCCACAGTTTCGAGTAACGATGTACGATCGCGAAGTGAATCGGCGGAAGAATCGACGTTATTTGCATTTTCCGAAGAAGCGCGGCGGAAACAAAAGAATCGCAATGTCCGCCGCGGAAAATCTGATAGCATTGCGAGCGAAGCAACACTGATCACAACATCTAATGATGTTAACAATGAGCATCGAGGCAGCGCATTGCAAGACGAGTCGTCGGTTGTCTCGTACAAAGAAGTACAAACAGACGACAAGTTGGGAAATAAAAACGGAGCAAATGATCTCGTAGAAGTGGCGGAACAATCTGTTCGGAACAATAAACGTAAAATGAATGTGAAACATGTCTCGTCGCATGATTATCGCGACGGAGAGCACGTGGAGAGCGTAATAAATTCCAGAGGTGATATGAAATACTCGAAGCGTATGGATAACATAAACGAAATGATGTCAACCGGATCGGTAACCTCTACCGTCTCCAGTAACGCGAACCGAAATAATATACTGAAAGTTACATCGTCGGATAATTTACACGCGGAATCGCTGCGAGAAGATGAGGATAAATCGAATATTCATTCAGGTGCTGACGAAGCTGCTGCTAGTACTGAAATTACATCGTATGATGACAAACAAGCGCGCGGGAACATTTTACGGAAATTAATATTTCTAAGTAATCCCAGTGACGAGGCGCAAATGATGCACGGAGGCAATTATGAGATTACGAAGAAATTACCAACTGCCAACGGCAACAAAGAGCTTCATTGGGATAATTTGCGGGAAATGTTGCCGTCTGATGGATCACAAATAAATTGGAATGTCGAAAGCACTGCAGATACAAGCGAAAGTATAAAAGATGATCCATCCACATCAACGGACATGGCTGATGTCAACTTTAAAGGCGATTCCCAAGATGATCCAAACGTGATGTCCACTAACGTTAACATTCAAGACGAAAATCAAGTAGAATCAACGTCATCGACTGATACAAGAGCTCAGTCAGAGGTTGATCAGAAGTCGAGTGTCTCGTGGGAGAATAAAATAATCGATGAAGCTCGCGATATGTATGATATTAATATGTGGCGCACAAAGTGTCAAGCAACAGCGTCGTCGTCTTCTTGCGCGGAAACGCAGGATAAATTTGCAGATATGCTGAAGACGAAAGCATCGACGGAATCGATGAGCAGCCAAATTGACGACATTTCACACGAAAGTGGCTCGACCCGCGAACAATCTTCGTCTATTTCGTCGGGTTTTCACAATTATGGCGATTATCAAAGAGCAGACATGGCAGACGTTACAGAAGCAAGGACATCAGCAGAAACATCAATTTCCAGTGTATCTTCGATCGAACGTCAGGATGAACAGAAGGAGACATCCGCAATATCACAACTGAAGCGACACGATTTTAACGCTCGCAATAGAGACAAGGAGATCACTTCGAATGTACTGCAGTCGGCGGAAGAAACCGAGTTCAACGGGATGCAAAATGCGCAACAACGAAAGTTGTCGGGATCCATAACGTCATCTGGCACGCGCACAGGAGTGCGGCATGAGGAGATCGCGAAAGAAGGTTTGGAAGTTACCGCAAGTGCCGCGACATCGGCGCAAACAATGTCTTCCGAGGCGGTCGAGAGCGAGTCTCGGGAAAAATTAATAGGAGCCTCGTCGGAATCCGACAAAAAATCACGAAACACGAGAAAACATAGTTTCAACGCGGTATCGCGGCAAGAGCAAATAATTGCGAACGCGAAAGCGGATTCTGCGGCTTCCAATAACCTTGAGGGCGTGCGACAAAGCAACTGGATAAAGAAGGATTCATTAGCCGATTCTAGTCGCGATATGCAGTGCGCGAAAATAGAGAACATACTGGAAAGTAACCTTGCAAATATCGCAGACTTCGCGACTTCGTCGACGAAAGAAACGGGCTACGGCGCTATTGAGGACGAACGTCAAAGTGGCGTAACAACGACTGCATCGTTATTTAATTCACGCGCAGAAGCACAGCAGCAGCGCGATTGCAATTCGAGCGTTCGACAAGAATCGACAGAGACGTCTTCCAGCGACACGCAGAACCGAGTCCTGAAAACCGAAAGTATCGTCAACAGCATGGAAGAAAATTTAAACTCTGTTGCGAACGCAGTGACACTCGCCGATGCAATATCTTTGAGTGGCGTTCAGGATTCGTGGAAGACATTATCGTCCGCCAATTCGTACGCTGAATCGCGCATGGACAACACGCGTACGCAAACAATGGCGTCCAATAAATTGAGGAACGTGGAAATAGATAAGTCGCTTCAAACGACATCGTCGTCCGACGCAAACGCACGAGCGACAGGTGAAAATACCAATGATATATGGAAAGATTCGAGTGCTGTTGCAAATGCGAGAACGGAAGTGGCAGCTTGCACTAATACAAAGGACACGGATCCGTCACACGGCCCGTTTGATTTACTGAATGCAGCAGGGAACAGTCAAGAGACTGCGAACGTAGAGGTGTCGGCGACGTCATCGGTATCAGCTTCCGTTGATGCTCGAGGAAAGCATATGGATAACTTTGTGAGAGAGGAATCGAACGACGATACCCAGATTCAAGAGATGACTGAAACTGGAAACGATGACAGCACACTGCAAATAGATCAGCGTAATAATGGAAACGCCGAAGCATCGGCGCAAGCAGCAAGCTTCAGCGATGTTAAAGGCGAACTTCAAGAAAGAGACGAATCGAGAGTTCTTCAAAAGCAGCGTTTCATTGCCGCGGACTCAACGGCGTCATCTGTCTTGAAGACTTTCGATCGAGCAGATAGCATCCAGGAAAATAATCTCGAAGAATCGATCGCGACGTCATCAAGTGATGCCTACGAGAGGTCCAATGTGGAAAATAAAAGTCGCGTCTTGGCGAAGGAGCGCACGATGGATGTCCTCGGTGCGAGTACGTCAACGCAAACGACAGTTTCCAGTGAAGTCGGGTGCGCGGAGGGAGATGAATTGCTTCAAACGACGTTGTCATCCGACACCTATGCAAATGCCCAAGCGACAGATACCAACGGTGCAGGAGAAGACTTGAGTGCTGTTGCAAACGCGAGAACGGAAACGACAACTTCCAACGGCACAAAGAGGACGGATCCACACAACCTGTTCGATTTACTGACCGGAGCAGTCACGGGAGCACGAACAGAAGAATCGATTTCTCGGAGAGGTACAATTAAAGAGGATCTTTCGAGAACATCGTCGAACGTGCTCGCGGGAGTTGAAGGCGGGAGCACGGGAAGCGGTAACTCCGCAACCGTAGACACGATTGCCGAAACGGGAAGCGGCGATCGGCGTAATCAGCAAGGAGATTGGCGCGGAACGGCATCCTGGTTCGGAGGCATTCGAGACGGCCAACTTGACGTAATGAAATCAACGTCATCGGCGAATTCTTACGCAGCAGCGCAAACCACGAGCGAAGGAAGTATCGTCGAGGAAGATCCGGGGGTCAACACGTTGATGTTAGAAGCCGCGGAAGCACACAACCAGGTCAAAGGAGAAGTTGATCCGAGTGGCTGGCTGGTTACAACGTCAGACGCTGCTGCCGTTGCGGAAGGACGCGCACAAAATAAGGATGAGCTTGATGTTTTGAGAGAAGTTGGGGAAGTTGCTATTTATGCGGCAGCGTCGACAGGAACAGCGGACGCCGGCAGTATCGGAAGTGAGCAACGTGATTCTCGCACGGAGGAAGCAGCCGAGTGTCGAGATGGCACAAATGCTGCGACAAAAATCCGACACACCGCCGTGTCAGGTGCTTCGGCCGCGACAATGACGTCGATGGAAATGGAGAATAAAAGCAGAAGCGTCTCCAGTAACCAAATGACGTCGTCATCGTCCAGCGAGGCGATTGCGGAAGCACGAATAAGAACCGGGGGAAGGAGCAGTGTTTCGCGCAATTTCAAGTTCCCCGTCAATATCAAGCGAACGCGAAGTTCAACGACTGCATCTGCAGCGTCACCTGTATCTGCGTTCACCTTTGACAATTTAGGTATGAATCATCGCGCAAGATATCGTCAGAGCTGGAGTGGAATGCCAGCGAGCGCCCCAACATCGAAGGAGATACGCCGTTCTTCAGGAGAGACCACGATTTTGTACCCTTCGCGTGAAATTAGTAAATGCGATGAGAACGTCGAGACTAGAGAATTCATTAGCGAGGCGACCAGCTTGTATCAGGTAAACAAGGAGCGCAATATTAACGCTTTAGTAATTCATCTCGTACAGGGGAGAGAGTAATAAATGATCCTGGGGCAATTTATAGTCCGCTACATTCTCTCTCCCCTTCCCCTCTCTATCTCCTTTCCTCTCTTATTTTTTATTCTTTATCACTTCTTTCTTTCGGAAAATTACTTTCTTCATGCATGCTGTAATATTACTTATGCCTGATTGTATTTGCGATATTACAGTGTAATCTGCGATTTTCTTTCTTTCTGGTTTCGAGTTACATTCTTATCTTTTTAACTTATGCTTTACTTCACGCATCTAGAGCTTTGGCTTTCTGTTATTATATTATGGAGTTTCTGTTACTCTAAAGACCATGGAACTCCAGAATATTAAGAAATTTTCTCTCTCTCCTCCCTCTCTCTCTCTCTCTCTCTCTCTCTCTCTTTCTCTCTCTCCCTCTCTCATGTAAATGATATGAAATTATTGGAAAAGCTAATTTGCATTAATATCAGCATATTGTTTTTAAATCGTTATATTTCGAGTGGATTATATTTTAAACAAAATTATTTCCAACAGATGTTGGACAAACAACAAGGAAGTGAAATCCTACTAATGAAGAAGAATCCCAGAGGACCTGTGCAAATAGCAAACTTCAAGAACAATGTGTCTCCGCTTATAAGGTATCGATTAATTCCACGAGAGGTATACGAGAGAATACGAGCAATAATCGCGCGCAAGCAAATTTTTTGCACCAATTGCGCGCTCTCTCGAGCACTTAAAACGCGAGCAATTGCATAATTATATCCTACGTACAATACATTATTTGTCGATTGGCGTAAACTAATCCAACGGGAGATTCTATCTCTCAGTAGAACTTCTGCAAAAAGCTTTTCGTTATGCTTGAATACGTCATATGTATTATAAATTGAGCGACATGCTGTATCGAAAATATAAACATCGCGTCGTGAAATCAGCAATTGAATCATTCATTAGAGATATTACGGAAGGTAGCTCTGATATATGGAGAGACCGTGCATTGTCATTGATATTTACCATCAGTCAGCTATTTAATACGACTGTCATTGTTTGTATATCGCATTGTAAATAAACATCCACCGGATAAAATCTTTTACAAAGTACCATCCTTTCCCCATCGAGCAAAAAATACGAATTTCCTACGTAAAGACATAATTCCAATATCCAGGTGAACTTCTCTCCGGGTGGATACTGCGAGATTAAAGTTTATGTTGAAATAAAAAAAAAGAGGAAAAGGAGGTGGACGAGAAAAGAGGAAAAAGAGAAGAAAATCTCTAAGTTTCGAGACGTTCGCGAAACCGACTCTGCGCCGAGTATTATAGGTAACCCGCGAGCGTATATATACGGACGGCCGACGATGGAGTAAAAAGCAGCCGCGCTTGTAAAAAGATTTTTCTCCCCGGGCAGCCGCGTAAACGCATAGACCGCTCAATGCGAAAGAGTAAGGATGACCTCGTTCGCCGAAGAAGACATTCGTTTCTGCTCTGTGCTTGCGAAGAACTGGATAACCGCAGCCACCGCCGCCGCCGCCGGCGAATAGAAAAATGTGTAAGGTGGCGTTAAAGCTGCAGATACGACCTTCTTGAGGAAAAGTGGCCGCCGACGTGCACACATACGAACTCTAAAGAGGTCACTTGCCGAAGGCTCGATCGCGTTGTGTGCGCCGATAGATGAATCGGAAAGCGGGAGGGATGGCGATGCGGTTTACGAGATGCGTTTAACGTTTGGCTTAGGTAGAAAGAAAGAGAAAGAAGAGAGAGAGAGAGAGAGAGAAATAAAGAGAGAAAAAGAGAAAAAAAGGAAGGTGAGGAAGAAAGAAAGAGATAGGGGAGGAAGAGAGAAGAGACCGCAGAAATAGAGGGGAGAGAGGGAAAAAGAGAGGTAGAGAGAGAGAGAGTCTCACATCATGTGATTACTACGGGAGTTCTTTTATGACTTTAGAGCCGAGTAGTACAACCTCATCGTCGTCGGCTTCGCGTCTAGCGTGGCTGATGGGAAGTGAGAGCGCAGAATGTTACGTTTCTTCTTACAGCCCAATGCCCACGGCTGCAACGTTTAATCGCGGGATGACGTTTCGCAGGCGATAACCGGCGGCCGTTCCGCTTTACGTTCACGTAAGATTACCGATAACGTCGGCGAGTTCGCCGCGATACCACCGGCCGCTTGAAAAGGGGTGCTTTTTTTCACGCGGTATTGCTGTCAGTAGGCTAAAATCGAGCGGGGGAATGCGCGATGTTAAAAGGTCTCCTGTACACTACGCATTATAAGCGTGACCTGTATATCTCGCGGATAGCAGCGGAACAAGAACGACCCGGTTTTGTCGTTGTGCTCCTCGACACTATTCGCGTACACCGTACCCGATAACTTATGAAACTTACGATCAGCAATCTCGCCCCGTGGTTCGAGCCACTCACCTCGAAATCCGTGAAAGCTTTGTATGTGAGTATCAAACAGCCACCGAAGAATATACAGGTCGCTAGATTCCTGGTGTCCGAGAAGGACGCGACCAGAGGAACAGATCCCATCTGCCAGTCGTGCGAAAGTATAGCTGGACACAAAAGCAGCCAGCAGTTGAGCGCTGCCAAATAGCAGAAGGTCAACAATCTGAAATCAACGACGGCACAGGTTGAGTAATGCGACTGTGAAAAGGAAAGGAAAGAAGTTACATCTAACGATAAGACACGAACGAGATCGCAGATGTCATTATCACTTTCGCTACGGATCCCGTGAGAGAGAGAGAGAGAGAGAGAGAGAGAGAGAGAGAGACGTTTTTAATCGTCGAGTTCTTAACGCCCGACGTTGGCGAACGAATCTGTCGCCCCTGTGGTGTCTACTTTTCTCCTTTTTTTTTTCTTTGAGAAAAATTGGCCGCCCGGTCGTCGCAAGTTCGCACGACCGGTATTGTCCTCTTGGCACGAGCTGAAGAGGTCGGCCAATGGGGGCTGGAGTGGTGCCCTCCGGTTGCTGACATCGAGGTTCCATTTTCTCACTATCAGCGTCTACCGATATAATCACCGATATAATGCTTCGCTCCCCCTTTCCCCCTTTTCGCCGTCGGTATCTCCCTCGCTTTCTCTCTCACGGCTGGCGTCTGCGCGATCTTCGACGAGGATATTCTCGGTGTATCGTCGCGCTCCCGGGACGGCTTACTCGGCAAGTCTATTGTCTCGCGAACAAGCCCACGCACACAGCCGGGCCGTATAACGCGCCGGTAAATATTCGCCCCGGCGCCGTTGTGAGTGTTAATTCCGACGGCTCACAAGTACCTCTAATTGTCCGCGATGCTAGCAGACGCGGCGTGAATCCGCCGACATCGATTCTATTCACTGAATAGCTGGAAAGTACTCCCTAAATTTCCTGGAGTGAAATTCCACTCGAAAAGTAGAATGGCCATCGAGTCATTTGAATTCGAGCGATTTTTCACTCATATAGAGTGAGTTCTCCACTCTGAATTGCGGGTGAATATTTTCACTCGAAACTGAAGAGTGATTCTAACGCGCTACACCGTCACGGGAACATGTTGACTTCAATTAATCGAAACATTCACTTATATCGAGTCAAAATCTATTTTAAGCAAAATCCATTCTAAGCTGAAATATGCATTCTACGATTTTGAGTGGCAGTATTTTCATTGTCGTTTCAAGTTAAAATATTGCTGCTTTTCACTCGTTCTGAGGGGAATTTTGCTCGAAAAATAGAGTGACTATCAAGTCGCTCGAATTCGAACAACTTTTTACTCATATAGAGTAAGTTCTCGACTCTGAATCGTCAAGTGAATATTTTCATTCGAATTTGGAGAGTCATTTGATGTACTTCACAAAAATATATGCTCACTTTAATTAACCGAAACATCCGCTCATATAGAGCTCAGAATTCAATCTAAGTTTGAGTGAAATATTCACCCTTGCGATTTCAAATGACAATATTTTCACTGTTGTTTTATATAAAAGCATTGCTACTTTCCATTTATTTTTTGTGGAATACTCCATTCACGAAATAAAAAACATTTCGCATTTGTTTTTAAATCAATCTGTGTAGAAACTTTTATATTAAAAAGCGCAGCCAAGTGTTTATAGGACACTGGTTCAAATTTATAGTCAACAAGTTTTGAAATAATTTTTTATATAAAATAAAATTTATGATGCGTAGATGTTCTGAAAATATGACGTAAGAAGCAGCACCAGTACGCCAGTGTCGGTCGTTGAAGCCGCCGAACGTCGCCGCTCTCGGAGTACCACTCCGAAAAAACGGTGCTTGAAAGAGGGAAGCTATGAGCTATGAATGAATTAATTTAACATAAATGTGTTATTTTTACTATTTTATAGTCAATTCATATTCACTATTCTCAAGTGTTACAATAACACAATAATGCTCAAGTGTTACATTTCTGCGTTAAATTTCATCATATTATTCGTGTTATTTGTTTACATATTTGCCTTGTTGTTAAATTAACACAAAAAAGAGTGGATAAATTGAGACATATGAAGTGTGTTATATTATGTGTTATACAAAATTTATAACAGTGCTCTAAAATATTTTGAAATTGAGCTAATAACAACGGTGCAAAGCACTGCACAAAAGATAGTAGCTCCGCTTCTTCGGACTTTATTGACACGTGGGAATACAAACTTATTTGCACGTACATATAAATAAGGAAGATATCGCAAATTGCGATATGATTGACAATCACGTTCGTGTACGTATTGCTCATGTTAGTTAGTCACATTGTTTTAAAATATATTTCAATCTCAACTATCATTTCTGGTAACGACCGACGTACATTCTTGCCTCTCTAATACGACTATTTAACGTACTTCAGATGAATCCGCGGGATTTTTCTCAAATGGCATGTCAAAACGAAACAAGAGAGACGTTATAATTTGAATATAGAGTGACACTCTAATTGCTCCCTTGACGCAAAAAAAGCCCTACAAGCCGCGCGCAGCTGGCAGCTGTGCCGCGATTTAACGATTTTTATCTCTTTATTATTTCGCGTGCTTGAGCACGTGTATTATACTGTTATCTCGCTAATTAATATCCATCCGGGCGAGCGGTCGGTCGAAGAGAGGAGAGGGGGAGGGAAACCACGGTGCAGCTCGGAAAAAGAAACAAAGACAGTAATATATCCCGGCGCCCCGAACGAACAGCTGTCATTTTTCGGCATAATTTTTCTTGCCCGCCGGCTATCTATATTTTCATTTCGTCGCAATGATTAACGAGCATTCCACCGGCCATCACGGCCTCGCTGACACCACGAGAGCGCCGAGAGCCCGTGATGTAGGAATAAAGGGCGACCTCTGAAATATCAAAATAATAATTTGCGACATATATCAGGCGTGGCGCACGTACCGCCATATGAAAGAGCGGGATTTGCCAGGAGAAGACGGTCGCGCGCGCTGGTAAAGGATGACATATACCCGCACGTCCACTCTTTTTGGAAATCGCGGAGTATTACAGAGATTGCTATAAATCTAGGAAGGATATCCTCAGATTTGTGGACTTTCATGGACTTCTGTGGACTCGGCCAAACAAATATCCGCTTTCCGAAGCTAGGCTCCCGTCGCAGTTCGCCGGCTCATAATAGATAAGAGAGCGCGGACGCAGGCTAGACGCGTTGCCTTTATTTACATTCGCCAAGCGTGCAAAAGCAGCCAAGGAGCGGCTCGCGAACATGAAACCGAAGAATAGATATTAAAAAGAATGTAGCTGTGACATCCAGAGATATCCACTTGCAAACTGTTCGAGTTAACATTTTCTTACAAGTCTCTGAGACATTTTGTAACGTCATCTTTCGTAACGCTGCTTGCTTATTAGTGAAAATATATAAAATGTTGGACTTCTACAATTAATACGGGGTGGAATTAATTAATCGGTTCAATTAAGAACGTTTCAATGGGACGGTGCACGGTAGACATCGTTTCTTGTTAGTCTCACGATCGTTTGTCAAGGTAGGCAACTTTCAGAAAAAGCTTTCTTTTGAAGCCGTCATTCGCGCAGAAACGCGATGTCATTAGCTTTTAATCGTACCGTTCCATCAATTTACCCTTTCTTTCATTCAACCGTTCTCTTTTTCCTGCGCTCTTTCGTGATATGCGGGAATCGATCCGCTGCCGATACTCATAAGCAGCAAAGTTTTCCGCCCGTATCCTTGCGACGTTAAAGTATTGTCGGCTTTTCAAATTACGTGCATTGCGTCAATCACAGCAAATCCGAACGTATATCTCGCGACGCGAGAAGAGAAAAGACCAAAAGCCGGGATTCACAAAACTGAGATAAAAAGATATCGTTGAAAAAGAAAGGAAAAGGGGAGAGAAACAGGCACATGTCATTTGAAATTTTAACTCGAATATTCGATAACATTTGGGAAATTAAACAGGTAATAATAACCACCGAATATTATTTAACAAAGCATCCATTGTCACATAATTTATTCCAATCAAATTGTTTCCTATATATATTTCATATTTATTGATATTTTATACATCACTATGCTTTATCTCGTATCCACTAATAATTTTAACCTCTGCGACTGTATATAACTTCTATAAAAAACGCACACGACACAGAAAAATACCGCATTCAAGCAAATGTTATTCAAGTATTTTATAGATTCATATATGTGGAAATCACAAGTTTATCATAAGCATCAAATGTATTTAAAATACATTATGAATCCTAGTAGAATATTAAGAGAGTATCTTGGTTTGAAAAGTGAAGTGGCTTTTTTAGTTTCAGTATTATATAAAATTTTTTTGGTACAATTTTTTTAGCAAAATTCGTGCACTTGGCATTCTTTTACATTTAAAAAAATGTAATATCTAAGGCAACCATAATCATAGTCCGTTTTGAATACGTTTTCTTGCGAATCTTAGTGACTAAGATATAACATATAAAAGAAAAACATTTTTGTCATTTAGACAATAAAAATATATTTCTGAAACGAGATTAAAAGAATATCCAAAGTTTGACATTATTTAATTTTTTCGTTTCCCTATACAAAAATTCAGGAAAAATTTTTTGCGAACTTTCAAATCAGAATACTCTCGTAAATCAAAATACAAAATACAAATTTACTATGTAGAATCGAACCGTGTTTTTCTTCCATGAAGTTTTATAATATTCTTGTAAAGATAACAAATTCTTCTCTTAAGTACATGACGATAAACTTTTCTCAAATTTGTAATGAATATATTTTGAGAGTATTATATTGAGAAAAAGATACTTGGAAATTAATATGCATACAATATGATAAAGTTTATTCACAGTAAAAACTTTATTTCAGAAATAAACTTTATATCTGACAAAATAAATTTTCAATCACTTTTCTTCAGTGTATTAGGAAAATATGCTTTGTTGAAGATAAGCATTACTTAAAAAGAAGAAATTAAATTAAGTAATCGCTTTTCTTAGCAATAAAATCATATTTTTCTGACATATACTGAAAGAAAAACTCAAGATATTTAGAAGTAAATATTATTTGTAATATTATTTTCGATATTTATCACACATACACAAATTTGGCTCTATATAATGCAGAAATATATATATATATATTACTGTGAAATATACCTAATTTTTCTTATTAATTGCAAGAAAATTTTCGT